TCCGAGCCTTCTAACTCATGAGTCAACGTCCGGTTGACCTTTCCAACTTAAGCCTTCCTTAAAGAGACTAAGTGTCTCATTTCCTATCCAAACCAATTCAATTCAACTATAACTCACTCGTTGCTGATAATGAAACATGAAGAAGCAGTAAATGGGGGAAACGGGGCTGTAATACATGAGACGACGGGTCGGGTCGTCACAAGATCCTATACACTAAAGGTATAATAACTATAATTAAGAAAAATGATACGTAATTCTTTTATTATAAGAAAATAATGAAATTTTCAGTTCAATCTCTACCTCATTTGTCATCTCAATACTAGGTAGGGGTGTACAAAGGAAACCGACAAACCACACCAAACCGATAATCTGAGTCAAACCGAGAAAAAAACCCGACTATGATTTGGTTTGGTTTGGAAAAAAAACCCGACCGTAATTGATTTGGTTTGGTTTGGTTTGGTTTGGTTTTAACTAAAAAAAGTCAAACCAAAACCAAACCAACCCGACATTACGTGTATACATGTTTTAAAATATTTTATACATAAAATAATTATTGTAATGTAATTTATAAATATAATTTAAACTCTTTAATAGTTCTCTCTTTTAATCTATTATTTCAAGCTTGGACTTAGAATTTTTTGAATGGTCAAATATGTTTTATAGCCCATAAATGTTAGTAACTCAAATAAAGGCTAAAGCAAAATCAAATCAATAGTAATGCTAAAAAAAAAAGTTCAATTCAATACTAAAAATGACATAGTATTGGATTTTTTTTTTTATAGTTTGCATTGATTTAGATAGTGAAAATGCATAACTCACTTTTAATATTATTTAGTCATGTAATTAATACTTAGTATTTATTAGTCGTACTTATTTTAACACGACTTAGTACTTTTAGATTATGTTTATTTTTATTATGGCTTATTAATTAGCAATATTTATCTTATGCGATTTGTTGAGTATTTTAGTATAATTATAACTCATCTCACATTATTTTGTGTTATTTGTCAGGTAACATATTATATAGTTTTATCCTACTAGGAGTAAGAAATATTAGAGCACAAATTATAAATTTTATGCTATGAAGATTTTGCCGGAAAAAATCCGAAAATCCAAAAAATCCGAGAAAAACCGTGATTGAAAAATTCGACTTTTGTTGGTTTGGTTTGGTTTATAAATTTAAAAATCCGAGACAATTGGTTTGGTTTGGTAATTGAAAATTCCGAACCAACCCGGCCTATGTACACCCTTAATACTAGGTCTCTTTTGCTCTCTATTCCTATTCGTTAAATTTTGGATGTAGCCACATAGGCGGATCTAGGATTTTCGAAGGATGGGTGCACCATTACATTTAAAAGGGATGCTAGTAGAAATAGAAAGAAAAAAAAATTTAAAAAAAAAGTTAAACAAAAAAGTTGTAGGGGGGGTCAAACCCTTAACCTTAGGCTATTGGAAATAAGAGACCAAAACCAATGTATCACTTCATATCTTTTGACTATGGATTCCATAAAATATATATACCTATTTTTGCCAAATTATGTACATTATATCAATACTTTAACCCGAGAAACACTGGTTCACGTGAATCATATTTTACGCCAGTAGCCATATCAGGTTTGGAGTACCTTATTATGTGAGAAATAATTAACCAATTCTAAGTTTTACCATCTCTCTTAAACCTTTTACTTTTCCTTCTTAATATGGCTTCGGGATTTAGGAGGATGTTATTGTAATTCTCATACTATACCTACTAGAGAGTATACCATTCTGACGTATCCAAAAGGATAATGACAATAACTAGAGAGCTGATCTTTTTAATTTTTCCTGTTGAAAGAAAACATCTTCCAAATTAAATTTGGCACGTTGGTTATTTAATACATATCTGCCTTTTGTTTGACACTCAAAGGTATTGTCTTGTCGTCAATAAAGTAAGTAAAAATGATGACACATTAAAATTTTAGTAAAAATAATAAAAATATGTAGGTGATTTCAATTCACTTACCTAAATTTCCCAATATTTATACCAATAAAAGATAACAATAATAGGTACTCATAATATAATTAAGATATATACAAACTGACTTGAACACCAGTATTAAGAATATCTCTTTTTTTATTTGAAATAGTACAGCTCAAGGGACAATCTGATTCACAACCTATAGAAGAGGAGGTTAGGAATAAAGACCTAAAATGGTAAGAAATGATATAAGACCATGTGGATATAAATTAAAGCTCCATGTGTCTAAGTGTATTATCTTAAAGCTACCTAATATCTTGACAACTCAGGACAAATTCACATGGAGAGTTTGGCAAGGTTACCCTATTAATTGATCTTATGGGCACTTAACAAAGGTCTGCCATTAAAAGCTTCATGTCCACATGCTCTTGGAACATGTTATTGCCAAGATATTGGGTTTCCCTTATTGACAATGGCAAGGAGACATGCTACAGAATTGCCCCAAAATCAACCATTTGAATAGCCATGCATGATGCATTTGACAGAAACCTACTATCCAAGTAATTCTAACACTTTTTTTTTAAAGGAAAAAAAATAAAAAGAAAAGGTCATGTCATTTTCTCCATTATGATTTATGAATGAACTCATCTAAAACTAACTTATATTAGTGGTGTGTCTGGTATTTGGTCAGTAAATAAAAAATAATATTTTCTCAAAAGCATTTATATAATCTAACTATAGAGACGAATAAAATTTTCTCACGTTTTTCTCCAACTTTTTTGATAATCAGAGGGGTACTTATAGTCATACAAGCAAGTACTAATTGAATGGAAATTAATTTACTCTTAATCTCAATGTTTTTTAAATGTTCTCTATAATCTTCTACATATGAAAATAGATAGTACACCTATTTATAATATTGCAAAAATTATTTTAACTAAAAACAAAAAAACCTACACTAATAAAAAAATAGGAATTAGCAACAGATAAATTCTGTAGCAAAACAAAAATCATTGCTAATCTTATTTAGTAATGGATTAGCGAAAAATTATCGAGAAATTTTATTAGCTACGCGCAATTTAGCAACGAAATTCGTGCTAATTCCTGTTTTTTTGTAGTGCCATTTTAGTATGATCTTGAATACAAAACCTAACAAGATATGAATAAAATAAACTATCAAATATCAAATCTTAAATAATTTAGGTTCCTACTATAACTTTGAATTGTTTTTCTAAAATTCTCACGAACTTGACAACGTCAAATACTTTTCTTCATCAGTTGATGCACTTCTGTAACGATCTGATAGGTCATTTTGAGTACTTGCCTTTATTTCCGTATTCCGAGACCTCTCAATAGCTTCATTAGATGTTATATGACTTGTGTGCGTGGTCTGTGTTATTTTTTGAAAAGTTTTTACGTGAAATTTTCAAGAAAATATGATTTTTGGCTTTAAAAATATTTTGAGTTGACCATAGTAAACGTCCTCGGATCGGTATTTTGACGATTTCGATAGGGTCGTATGATATTTTTGGACTTGTACGCACGTTTGGTTGGGGTCTAGGGTGAGCCGAGCGAGGTTCGGTGCATTTTATGAAAGATTGTGAAAAATGAGTTTTCAAGTTGAAATCTTGAGTTTTGATGATCGATTCTTGTTATTTGATGTTCTTTTGATGATTTGAAGTAGCGATCATGCATGTTCGATTTGGAGCCCGAGGGACTCGGGTGAGTTTCAGAATGGTTTCGGACCATTTTTTTATACTTGTTGAAACTGTCGATTTTTTGCTTCTGGTGTCCAGTGTTCCGCAATCGCGAAGCCTCTATCGCGACCACGAAGGGGAAATTTTGGTTAGGGGATGGTTACTCTTCGCGAACGCGAGAGGCAGGTCGCAAACGCGAAGTATTGGGGGAATTACCCTTTGCGAACGCTAGTGGCCACTCGCGAACGCGAAGCTTTGGGAATGACCTGGGGGGATGGCAGGGGTCTTCATCGCGAACGCGGACCAGGGACACAAACACGAATGCAGGCTGGGAAATAAGCCTTTGTGAACGCGATGTAGACTTCGCGAACGTGAAAAACACATGACGCCAACTATTTAAAAGTTTAAAGTCGGGATTTATGCACTCAACACCATTTTTGAAAACTAGAGCTAGGACTAGAGAGGATTTTGAGGATATTTTCATCCCAACTTCATAGGTTAGTAAATTCTAACTAGTTTTGATGTATTTCCATAATCACCCATTGATTGTTAACCTTAATCTATGAATTTCAGGATAGACATTAGGGGTTTTGGGTAGAAACTAGAGATTTTATAAAATTGAGATTTAGACCTCAAATTGAGGTGGGATTTCGAAACAAATCACATAACGAGGCTCGAGGGTGAATGGTAATTGGGTTTTGGTCCAAATCTCGGATTTAACCAAGCGGGCCCGAGGTTAACTTTTGTTGACTGTTTCCAATTTAATTAAAGATTGAATCTTTTTCACTCGTGTGTAGTTTCAAAAGCTTATTTTGAATTATTTGAACTATATTTGGCTAGATTTATTGATTTGGAGGCTAATTCTAAAGGAAAAGACGTGATTGAGCATTAATTTAGTTGCGGAAGAGGTAAGAGTGTGCGCGCGCAAAACCTGGGGAGCTGATAAAGAGAGGAAATGAAAAAAAAGTTTTGGTAGACACTGAGAATTCGAGAAATAAAAATTGATAAACAATTTCACTTATTAATATGTATTTGTAGATGAGAAGATAAATTGGTCAATATGTAACCAATTGACCGGAAATCATTCAACTACGGATAGTTGACTTCCTTGCTCAAAGGTGGCTAGAACTTTAGCTCGAAAACACAAAAAGCAATTAACGCACTTTTTTGAAAAAAAAAAAAACAATTTTCAATAGCTATTAAGCGTTCCCAAAGGGACAATTCAGTGGTCACAAGACTACCTTAGCTTGGATCGCAGTGCCACAAGTTCAAGGAAATTTTTTTGCTAAATGTGTGAAGTATCCAGTGAAGATCATTTATGAACTAAAAATATAGGAGAAAAGATCTTACTTTTACACACCAACGGTATATATCCACCTTCTAAGATAGTATATCTTAGAATCTGTTTTTGATATGGCAATAGGTTTTTTGAACAAAGCTAAGAACTGCTTCTATTTTTTTGCGTTGTCAATATGCCTAAGCTTTGTATTTTGCTATCTTCATGAGTTTGAGATGTAGATGTTTCGACCAAATTGCCAATAGCATTGACAGAGCTAGAGGTAAAAACACATTCAAAATATCCTATGCGCTTATTTACAGTGACTGAGATATATGCACTATCAGAACTAAAGAATTTCCAAATCTCCAGAATTGCTAATCCTATGAACAATTTGCTATATGGTGATGGGTTCTTGAATTTTGACATATACACAGATATGAAGAAAGTATTCAGGGTTCATCAAATTGTTTACCACCCATGCAAAAGGAATCTCCATCTTTGGTTCAATTCCCTGAATGCGTATGAGCTTAATCTCAGCACCATCTGACACAGAGCAGGAGACAATGCGCTCATTCAACATCTCTCCACTTTGTCCCGTGCTGCTCTTGTTTGTTTCTTCAAGAGATAATCTCTGTCCAACCTCAACTTCTTCTCCAGAAACGTCATCTTTTGGCAGCAGTTTTTCCCCAAACAGCTCCGGCAGAAGCTTCGTTATTGCGTCACACAAGGTGAAGCATTTGCCTCCTGCAATCAAACCCATCAAGGAAAGGGAACAAAACATTAATAATCACAACAGTTTCCAGAGTGAAAATGCAGAAAGAGGTATCTCCCCTATGCTTTTGGGTCTTGTTTGCCCCATCAAATTGTGCAGAAGCCATTAATAACTACCTTCGACTCGGAACATAATCTCAACTGTTTAATCTACACAAACTTTACTAGTACAACTTGCTGAACATTAACACAAGAACCCGTGGGATAGTTCTTCCGAAATGACATTGGTAGTCTTCATTCCAACGGACTCTTTGTCTCAAGTTCTTTATCCAAGGGACTTAGGAGATCACAAAAGCACCAAACACTTGAATTCTGTGAAGTCTTATTGCTCACAATCCATCCACATCCTAAGCTTGTCTAAAGTCCACCTAAAATTAAATTTGTGCGAGAAGAGAGCAAAAGATGTAGATTAATCACATCATCCATGGTATATTTAAGCAAACTGCTAGCCTCCTACCTGTCAACATTTCACCTCATAGGAAAAAGAACACTAAAGATAACCCTGCAATGCCAGAATTTAATTACCAATCTTCCAGTATGGTTTTGATGTTCATGAAGTTAACGTAGGCTTGAGTTAGTGTGCATGCACAAATACAAACAACAACAACAACAACAACATTCCCAGTAAATGCACAAATACAAAATGAAACTAAAAACAATTATAGCCAAATTTCTTACCATCTCCATGAATCTCAACAGGTCTGTTTATGTAAGAGATTTTGTCCCAACTTTCAACTGCAGGTGCATCTTGCAAGTCATCAAAATCCTCATTGATAGTCCTAACATACAGTCGAATCGGTATTCTACCTGAATACACAAAACAGAATATAATTTGTATGGCAGTAACAAGTTTAAAAGTTTAAGAGGGAGCATATCTGTTTGTTCATCTCCCAAAAAGATAAGCAGCAAGAATGCATGAATTAAAACTCCCCCCACCCCCCACACCCAACAGAAACGGAGATTATTACTGACATACTGATGCATAGTGTGGGGATGTCAAGATGAAGAGCATTGAGCATAACATCTTGTACATATTGTAGGCATGTCAAGATCGAGGGAAGCAAATTGTGTTTCCAGAATATAGAACAGAAATCACATTTTGAAAGCTTTGCAAAAAGTACCACTTGCTAAAACACGATTATATGAAACAGTGTTTTTCTTTGTCTAAAAGCAGAGTATTAGGAATTACTACACGTTTCTATGTATTCTACTACTAGAATAAATTCAGAATCCATTCATTTGACAGGTCATGGTTTAAAGATATTACCAGTCTGTTACCTATTGTAAAAGAAAGCAAGAGAGAGAAATCAATTAGCTCCATCCACGTCTGATCAGTTTGGCCACGATTTTTACTCAAGATGTGTATATCTATCATCTAAACATAGTATCCTAATTCAGATGACTTGCAGGTTTTAACTCATCAGTGTCAAATGGACTAGGGTGTATGAACAATCCATACAGAGTACCATACACCCATGTGAAACCTATTGATGTGCACATAAAATAAAGGTCTATACTTATCCAAAACCAGCTTATTTCCCTTCAGGGCCAAGTTTTTTCCACTTTAATTATAATGTGTATCACATATCAGAGAAAAGAGAATGAAGAGCATCATAGTTCATTCCTATTTCAGGACACTTTCTTCATGCATATTATGTTCGCTTTGTAACTTGTATACTGTATCCTCGGGATGCCCATTAACAAAAATCTTACTAAATCAAAAAAGATGTTCATTGAACCTCGCCGGTCTGATCTTACTTGACCCCCAATGTGATGAATACTAGAATTCTTGAAACAAGAACAAAAACCAAAAGTTGATCAGGAAAGGCAACAGCTAGTGAACAATTTCTGCAAAATGGAAGATTTCCAAACAAAGGTTTATTTGACCACATTCCCTTTATGAGACAAAATTAGGTAGATCTTCCTTGTTCTATTTTCCTTTTCTTTTGTTATAGGTAGAGAATCATTATCCTTCTTGCTCTTAAATTATAGTTAAAGGGCAATGGTGGGTTTTGGTCTATAAGATAGCTTCCCGAGGAAGACTTAACAACCGATTTCCTCAGTGTTTGAGAAGGAAATCCTAGGCTAAACTTCCCTTCCTGGCTGTTGACCAGTCCTTCCATCTTTACCAATAAACTACTGAAGCCCACTCCAATATAAAAGCAGAACAAGAATTAGTGTCTTGATGCCTCCCAATGGAACTTCCTCATAAAAAACAAGTTAATTAAGCCTATAAAGGGCTCAATCTCCTACCCCACAACAGCACAGGCAAGTTGCTTCAGCAAGCTCACCAGTGCCGCACAAAGAAAACATGTCATGGACAAATAATCACATTTTACCACTTTAACCAGAAATTGGAACAAATAATTTCTCTGGCACAGTTCACCTAATTGATAAGAAAATTTTGGAAAAGGATGATTAAATTACAAGCCACAAACAGTTGGGATTAAACTAACAATTACATTGTTTTATCTTGGACTAAAAGACCAGTCATGAACTAAGATTCTTTGATAAGTAGGTGACTAAGATTTGAAAGTGCCTTGACATGTCAAGCGATTTAAACAGCTGAACTCTTATCATGAAGGGAAAATGAAATTTTGAAACAGGAATAAAGCGACTTCCCTCCACTATGCACTAGGGCAAGCTCCTCTAACATGTTAATCTCTCCCACTAGCTAGAGCCCTCAAATTAGAACTTCATCATTGCCAAGCTATGGAGCAACATTTATTACTCAGCAGTTCAACTTAGCTACCTCCAAATACATCCAATCAAAAGAAATTAGAACAGAAGTTTTTGACTACCTTTCTCAAAGGAATGGGAGCGAGAGAGATTTTGTGTGTGTGCCAACTGAACTTCAACAGTGTTAACATATTCTGTAGGCTAGATTGACTACATACACGTGTAACTCACCTGTTTTAGCTGGTCCTGTGCCATCTGCATTTTGAGTGCTTTCCGGTGATTTAGGAGAGGAAGAGCTAAGTTGTATTGAAAAATCATCCACCACTAGGCCAAGTTTAAGCTTAGACGAGATTCGGAGATAAGCTTCTAAATTACCTGATAGATCGAACACAGTACAGTGAGTGATCTAAACATAGATATAATAAGATCGCCTAGAAAGATGAAACCCTTCATGAAACAGTCCCCTAGCACTGTATGTGTATGGCACTGGTGAAAATGACAATAGCCACGTGAGAAATGAACGAAGAAGCCCGTATTATAAACCCTGCAATTAAGATGCATACCATCCATAATGGAGCGCCACAGTTCTAATTGATCAGGTTGGGACATATTCATTACATTCTTGCAGTTCCCATTGATTATGTATGCTGCCTGCAGATCAGCCAGTAGAAATATCAGAAAGTAAACAACAAGTCCAATATGGCGAGACCTCATTTCTAAAGCCAAACCCCACCACCAATCCCCTGTGATTCACAGCTCTTACAGCCAGCATAATCCTCTGTTCATGGAGCACTCCCACAATTAAAATCCAGTGGATGCATTTGAAATGAATTGATTGTCAACCCCTACCATCGGGGACCCCCCCGGGGCCCCCG